GTACGTATTGAAAGACTGCACCTTCTTTGTCCATTGCTTTTACGATTGTTGGCCTCTACAACAACAATACTCTGCATTTGAGGGTTTCCGAGAAATAAGACAATGGATATATTATGAGTGGTGTAAGTGGTGAAAATATCATCATGAATGTTCCTTCATGAGTGTACTGCAAAGTCAACATTATTTGTTGCAGAATTCCGGAATTGCATATTCTGTAATCTCACATGTTAACCGATGTGCCCTTTAGTTTAAGGCAAAATGTCCCGACACTAGTACAATTTGTAGCCATCACGTGGCAGCACCAAAAGAAGTAAAATTTACTTTACCGATAACGTCTGAACCAATGGTCCGATTTTCGATCTGTAAATGGCATTTGACGCCTTTTTAAAATAGAATTTACGCTACGATGTCCTTTATCCAAAAATCTAACAAAAACGCGAATTTGAAATTAGTTCTCAAACTTCCGAGAACAAAGTTAAAAATGCGGGCTTATAGCGTGATGGCAACATACTTCCTGAATCCAACGTCGTGACAATTATGCAAATCGGACGAATAGGAGCGTCACAAAGCGAAATTTACGGAAACACCTCGCCCCCCCCCTCTTCCTTCACTGCCGTGCTCACCCACCCACCCCCCGACCCTTTGGGGCTCCTCTGTCGGGTGACGCGGGCCACGGCCAGGCCGGCGTCTTGCGATGAGAATACGCTCCAAATGCAAGCAACCTTAGGAGTTGTTCAATTGCATCATTACCTTTTATTCATTTACGTAGTCTTACGAAAGGGCGCACAAAAATTATTATCCCTTCAAAATTATACAAATATGACATATTATATTATGTCAAAAAACTTACCAAGTAAGCTGAATAAGTCATGATTCAATAAATCTTATTGGATGCTTGTTACGGCGTTGAGTCAAAATGCACCTCGCCAGCACGCTATTTTACCACCTTTTTTAATTTCAACGTAGGCTTCCGCGGCCAGAGTCATGTGCATATCTTGTTTGTCCGGTGACGCCGCGTCAAGCTGTGTTGCCACGTTTCGAACATCTTGTCGTGCCTCTTTCAGGCTGGTAGTCTGGATGCCACCCGTAAAGTCCAAAAACTTTTTCCAAATCGGAATCGATATTTTGAGTATTGCCTCAAACAATTTTAAAGATCGTATTCGAAGAAAGACGGAAATATGTGGAAAATATAGTTATGTACAACTATTAAGACCGTTTACCTCAGTCAGTATAGCATCTCTAATTTGGTATCTGTTGAAAAATAGACTGAGATGCAAAGAGACAAACCGAAACGACTGTCTGGCTTGCGTATCCCGCAATGTCCGCCTGCTCTGCCTTGGCTGTCGTGCCCCGCGCCGAAGAGGCCCACAACAATCGGGTGGGTGACGCAACGGGCGAAGAAAGGGAAAGGGGCAAGTGTGTTTCGTAAATTTCACTTTACGACGCTCCTATTCGTCCGATTTGCATGATTGTCACAGCGTTGAATTCATCGCGCCATAAGCCCACATTTTAAAATTTTTTCTCGGAAGTTTGAGAACTAATTTCAAAATCAAGATTTTGTTAGTTTTTTGGAAAAAGGGCTTCGTAGCGTAAATTCTATTTTGAAAAGGCGTCAAATGCCATTTACAGATCGAAAATCGGACCATTGGTTCAGACGTTATCGGTAAAAGTAAATTTTACTTATTTTGGTGCTGCCACGTGGTGGCCACAAATTGTACTAGTATCGAGACATTTAGCCTTAAAGTGGGAATTTAGGTTTACGTGTTCGATCTACAATTCAATATTAAGATTGACACTCTGAAATGTTGTACAATGTACTAAACACATTCAGTAAACGATCATATAGTAAACACAATTATTCGTGTGGTAAGATTCACTAAACATGATTGTTTCGTTTAGTAAATCAGACAATAGAAAATCGTAACTGAATGAACAAAGATAATTGTCACGCTGCCACCGTTGCATGCAACTGCTGACCGCCGTCGAAGGGGGTGGCTTCTGGAATATATCATGGCGCAGTCTCATTGCGTTTTCGTGCTGCGGAAAGAGCCGATGGGAGGTTCTGTACACTCGGATTGGGAGAGAACAGCGGCGCACTCCCTCACTTCCTCCAGTTGACTAGGGTGCCTCACGATTGCTCTTTCTAGCTGCGCTTTGGGATCCAAGTCGGCTGGGTTCCGGCTCCTTCCGGAGGCTAGGCTGATGACTAGACGCTTGAAAAAAGAAATCAATTGTGCCATCTCAGTCGATCTCATTCAAGATATGCTATGTTAACACTTCAATCTTCTATCTAGTATATTGGATAAAAACAAAGAACCTGAGAAAGCACATTGAGAAAGGGAAAGTTTTTGGAATCAAGAAGATTATTCATTGTAGTAAGTGACAAGTTTAAGGAAGACGGGAATTATTTAAGATAAAAGGGATAAAGTTTAATTATTGCAGGAAGATTATAAGAGAAAAGGAAGTCGTCATATAACATGGTATAAAACTCTTCAGTTGGATGATATTTCTAATTATTTAAACGGGAAATGTAAGAGAAGTGACTGAAGATAACGAGATATAGGCTCGAAAATGAAACTAGAGCTAGTAGATATTGTGATATATTAATTACTTAACATAAAAATAACGTTGCAACTAACCGACGCGGGAGAGAATGTTGGTCGAGTGGGACGAACGCGCTGAGAGGCCGAGCAGAGGAGTCTTTTGTGTTCCCGGTTCGAATCACGAAGGGTCGCGAGGTGACAGAGTGCCGATATATTTATGGCACCGCTGGCTAGCGTGCCGGACCCTGCACGTGCGTAGCGTGAGCGCCGTGCACAAAAAAGCCTCCCCTTGCAACCGCCAATTATGACTCGAAAAGAAGTTAGGCGGATCAGTGATCACTTGCAGTAATTTATAGAATAGTTGTAATAGGGCAGTAGCAGCGAGGCAATCGGATACGCTCACGTGTCCGCGCGAGGGCGACGGGAGAGAGTAGTGCGTAGTACTGTGACCTAATATCCTGCGACCCAATCCAAAATCTGCTAAAAAAAATAAGGAAATGAAAAGAAACATATTATTGGATCTCGGAGGAAAGGATAGCATAAGCTAATGGCATTATGCAGGGAAGAAAAAAAAAGAGATTGAAGCATTAAGGAGAGCGGTCGCGAAACGACAGAGGAACTTCGGAGTTTAACGAGAGTGGTCGCGAGCATATGAGATTTGAACGACAACGAGACGGTCATAAAAGCCAGGTGAGAAAGAGCGAAAATGTAAGTTCGCTCAATCATTGACATTGCCCATGAGTTGAAGCAATTATTTGACAGAACCTATTACTCTTGAACCTTTGTGAGCTCGTGGCGGTAATACGAACTGTTAATCGGTTACCGTAAAGATAATCGTCACGCGCGTTGTAATTCGCGTTAATTAGAAAGACGAAAATGCGTTCGAATAGAATTGCACTCTTTAGAACCGAGTGGCGAGAGTTCAGCGGAACCTGGGCGCCTTCATGATCCGCCGAGCAGAAAGAGATGCAGATGATTTTATTAAGCTGCGGTGCTACAAAGACGGGCGACCGTTTTGCTGCTCCCTCTAAGCTGTTGTGAGGCCAGCGCAGAAGAAAGATTATCAGTTGGGCATTAAATGTAGTAGTAGTAGTAGTAGTAGTAGTAGTAGTAGTAGAAGTAGTAGTAGGAGTAGGAGTAGGAGTAGGAGTAGTAGGAGTAGGAGTAGTAGGAGTAGGAGTAGGAGGAGTAGGAGTTGTAGGAGTAGGAGTTGTAGGAGTAGGAGTTGTAGGAGTTGTAGGAGTTGTAGGAGTAGTAGAGATGATTTGATAAGATGGTTTCGGCCAAATTACATGTATCAAAATTTCAAATTTAAAGACATAAACGGCCTAAGTTATAAATGGTAAAAACGTTTATCATTACCACCTAAGAAATTCCAATCCGTAGCATGTTGTTAGTAAATAGAAAAGATAAATGGTAATAAGTGTGTGTGTGTGTGTGTGTGACCCGAGCGGAGCGACTGGACAGCCCTCGGATGTTGGCATCTCTAATTAGTAAAAAGAGAGTAAGCAGTGAGAAACGAATCACATCCAATGGTGATTACGTGATAAACCGAAGACTGTACACGAGACACCATCACAGTATTGACTAAATAGTGAAGAGATAAAATGTAGGGTCTGTGAGATGGAAGAGGATGACTGGGAGCACTCATTAGAGAGATGTCGGGTTTGAGGTCGGAAGAATGGGGGAAAGGTGCAATGCCAGAATAAAATGAAATGAATATTAAGGGACACAGTTAAAAAGATTAGTATGGTCGAGAGATACTGCATAGTATGAAGCATATTATTGTTTACAGCTTGCATTGTACATATATCTATCGAACCCAACTATTGTATATTTACAAAGTTGTAAAATACGTACTCAATATAATAAAAAGTAAGCATACCGGTTCCAAAGGAATATAAAAGTAAGTAAAATCAATAATTCAATGCTTCTATTGTTATGTTGTGCTACTGTGATGCAACTATTCAGTGCTATGTTACCAAGTTCCTTGTTTGCTGTTACGTATTGTGCATGGTATTGTGTTTGGCATGTTGCTATATTGCTTTTTTGCATGCTGTTATTTAAGTTAATATGATGTAACGTCTGTACACCCTGCTGCAGTTTTACAAGGCGTATTTTCTAAGCACGCCCCTAGCGCTTTTCATCCCTCTTCTAGGAATTCGAATGGACCAGTTTATTCTTTTCCTCGCTGGAAAGCGCTCTTGAATACTTTTATTTAACCTGCGATCTACACTACAATAATTTAGATGTGTGCCAATAGACAGCGTTTTGTTTTTTCTCTTAAGAACATCCGTGCATGTTTTCTTACGTTACTAATGAGGAAATCGAATGAATGAGCATGTATACCAAATGTAGTTTGGAACGGGCATATGTATTTCCTTGTGATGTGTTTATAACCAATGTGTTTTCCATTGTGTGTGTTGCTTATTCTTTTCTGTTCATCTCTTGTCATAGGAATGACTTGCACGGTCTTCCAGGCATGGTGAAAATAACAAATCCTGATGAGGCCTGTAATCATCAACTGGCAATTGAAGTTCGTGATAACAATGCAGCTGGCTGTGCAGCAACGAGTGTGGAAGCCTGCGATATGAGCAGAAGGTTATAATGATCACAATTATCTGTACGTTATAAAACAGTTTAGAGAGTAATAGTCCTTGTTTTGTGACGGGTGACATCGAAAATTATGCGAAACATTTAGCGTATGTGTGGTAGTTGTTTAGCGGTTGGATGAAATTTTTATTTTATGAAAAACACAATTCTAATTCCAACTTTTCTCAGTAATATGTAGCCATAAAATAAGCACACATTTATGCTTTGCACGTAGAGTAATTAAGAAAATCGCCATATGACGAAAAACGTTTTAAGCCATATTTTCGAATGCATGCTATTCAATAGTGAAATCATTTTTTATGATGAATGTAGAGGCTCTTCAGCTGGTGATTACCGCCTCTCGATCATTGACGCCTCATCGGTGATATCTAGTAAGTAGATAATGGCAAGAGTGAAGAATGGTGTTGAAATGATGGAATGAGAGAAGAAATCCTGTCGAGAACTCACTTTGCCCACCACAGTGATTGGTCGGGAGCAGTGGAAGGGGTATGCTCAGTGCAATTACGTCATAAACCCTAGTACTTTTCAAATACGCCGGTCTTGTCATTTCAATCCACATAATGTAATGTGGCGTAAATTGAATTGTGTGAATTTGACAGTCGTTTCCGAATATTGCAGACCGATTTTTTAACCTCTTTCAAAGCGTCGGTTCAGCTCCGTGATCCATCACTTGAATTTCTATACATCAAAAGGAGTGTGCGCACTCCCCCACCACCACACACTGTTCAATGGGTTCTAGTTAAGTACTGAATTTTCTCTCTTGTTATATCTGGATGAAGAAATAACTAGTGGTGCTACCAAAGCACATACTTTCTCGCATTGTTTCTAAAAACTCCGCAACGTTACACTACTACATAACCAGCAGTAGTTTGTCAAGCAGCTAATTATTTTACCGCTCCGAGACTTCCACTGAGCGTCTTCAGAGTTAACGTCTTGGCACTCATACCACTACGCCACAGAAGGGTATGAGCATGGGTAGAAATCGGACAAAGGTAAAAAAAGGTAAATACTTGATTCATGTAAAAAAAAAACCTTCAACAATCAAAATATCGGTTAGAAACTTCTAAAGCCTCCTGTCCGGTAAGATGAATTAGGGAATATCATTTTTTGAAGAAAATCAGCTGAACGGTTTTAGAGGCTAGCGTTAACCACAGACGGACGTACAGACAGACGGACATTTTGCCGGCAATAATTTTTCGATATGAAGAACCAACAAAACATGGGTTCTGGCTTCAACACGAATTAGAGAACTTTTTTTCTAAAATTTGCAACAGGATTTATCCACTTTTCATTACCAGAACCCGGCAATAAGTTTTATTCTGCTGGCAATAAGTTTTATTCTCCTGGCAATAAGGCTTATTGCATTTGTGGGTACAAATGCTGCAAATGATTTTCAATAAAATTTCTGGAATCCCTAATAGGTTTATAAAACAACACTTTCATCACCTTAATTATTTTCTGCGGCAACACAGAATTGCCACAAATACAAATTGCCAGCCAAACATCCTTCCGACGAACTGGGCTCCTACCCGCTTTAGCCACCTCAGCCATCTCATTAGGACATGAGACGTACACTGCTATAATAGTAATAGATGTATGGTGGTTTCTGCTCTACCATTACGGAGCCGAGTAAATGAGAAAATGTGAAAAAAATTTCGGGCGACAAAATAAAAGCAGCTGGAGACTATGGGTTATGTGAATAAAAATGAACACTTCCTCCGCGACACTGAGTAGAAGCTACATTTCGTGTGAATAAAAACTTGGTACGTCTTCGAAGAACTTGCACATGTCTCGCGAGCATTTGCTCTTTGTGAACAAGTGATAGTACAGGCTGAGTTTTAAAAATTGGTTTTTATGAGCAACAAAGAGGTTACATACGTTACGCCCTCTGTGCGCATTTGCGCGGAGCAAAGAGCAATGTTTTGTTGTGTCGTTCTTTAAATTCGACTATGAGTGCAAGTATCGAAAAACAGGCGCCAAGCTAGATTTTTCCGAAATGCTAAGCGAATATAAAATTATTTTTTGAAAAGAGCCAGCTTCCGGAGGTACGCTGTGGCCGAAACGAAAAAACAGTTCCCCGAAAAATTATGAGTAGAAAAGAGCGATGGCCAATTAACATAGAAGATACGCAATATGAAAACGCGCCTGAAAGCAAACACCGATAAAAATCGTACCAACCCTACATCGTCCTTTTCGAATCAGTAAAGATTCTAATAGTCTACATCACGAGAATTTCGCCTTGTAAATTGTAATTTTTTTAGGCCGTTTCATCTGCATATCAACGCACGGTAAAAAATCGGCCAAATTAGCCTTACTTTTCAAACGTTTGTCTGCTACTAAGGTCCCTCAAAAGTTTTCGAGCGAGTACTCCTTCTAGAGAGTGTACTATATTCGATAGTATAACTTTCTTCGAACCAATTCTGAGCATTTGCTCGCCAGTTGAGAGTATGCTTAGAGATGGAGCAGGTACTCTGGGACTGAACAATTGCTCACCCACTTTATACGAAACTGAGAAGAATCTCCGAAACTCGGAGAAAAGAGTAATTGCTTACTTTTATTCATACCACCCAATGAGGCTTGTCGCCAGTTAGTGAAGAGTAGAGAGATTAGAAAACCAATAGAGCGAGAAAGTCTGAGCCATTCTATATCACCTAGTTGACTTATTACTTGTGTATTTAAAAAGCTAATTTCTACAACAAAATTACGGAGCCAAGTAATTGAGAAAATGTGAAAAAAAAATGTTTATCAGGTGACAAAATGAAAGCAGCCGTAAAGACAATGAGGCTTGTCGCAAAAGTAGATCAGAGTAGTCGTGCTAGAGAATGGCACAGACTTTCCCGTATTCGTATAACGAAAATATGATTTTAAGATTATTAAAGAATAGTAAAACGTCGTCCTAAAAGGCAATTTTCTTTCAAAAATTTGGACCCGCTTTTTAAAAACTGACGTTTAATCGGTACTGTAGTTGCTATTTTTTTTCGTAGAAAACTATTGAGTTGCGGAAAAACTTTATATGTAGTCATTTCAAGCATTTCCAGTCTCAAATGCAATAATGTTCACAAATCGTTGGGAATGTGATTACTAAAGCCATGAGAAACATTTCAAAAAAATTATTAGTGTTATTTTTGGATAAAACAAAAAACAAAAAAGTCTCCAAAATGAACTTTACGTCATATTAAAGAGTGCAATTAGCACTATCCCGTCGAAAACTTTGACGAAAAAAATTATAGCTGGTTTTGAAAAAAAAACCTGTTTTTTTTTATTTTATTTTAAATTGCTCATATCGCTCTCAATATTGTCTGAAAACTATTAAGTTTCAAAAACGTGTAGATGAAGAAATTTGGAGCCGTTTTTGAGAAAAATTTGAAAATGTCCGAACTTTATGTAAAGTACGCCCAAATTTTGAGGAGTGATTTTTAAAATCTCAAAGTTTTGACTCGAGCCAGATTCAATTTGGAAAAAATGGTTTGGCGCTAACAGTGTTCAGACAGGCGGACGTTTTTAAAAGAACCACTTTTTCGGCATCAGTGGGCCGCAAAACGAGAATTTCAGTTGAAATCTCGAAATCGATTTTCCGCACCCTTACATAACTTTCCGTATAGTATGTATATTACTCCGTATATGCGTATATATACGGGAAAGTAATAAATGTTTAATTGACTGGACTTTTTTTACAGGATGTGCTTTTCTACAAGCACACTTTTGATTGACCTTTCCGATGAAAGGCTTGGTGGCTGAATCTTAAAGTACACTTGGTCTTTGTATTGCACCTAGCCAATCTAAGGACTTTATATCCAACCTATAATCCAGTGATGGATTTGACTGACCACAACCGAAAGGTTGTTGGTATTTCGTTGAAAAGAAATGCTGGTTGTTTATACATGTCCTAATCCTTGTGTATAACACGCCCTGGACTGTGCGCTAGTTTATGATTGGAATAAACGTGTTTAATATTAGTGCGTTAGTGTTATACTCGCGATATTTTCACGGAAACCATCCATCGCAGAAGTCAAATATTCGTGAATAGACAAAAGTATCCCGCGCCAAGTTGCTTCGGGCAAGTGCCTCTCTAATTTGCTTCAATGCCAAAATTGTGAACCCCTAATATAATTGTTTTTATACGTATAATGGGTTCATTGTTCTCTGTAACCTGGTCATTGACAAATGCAACCTGCCTGTACTGGACCGCTACATGGTTACAGTGAACCTTTGGGACAACAATTTTAGGTTCACTGTATCCCGTAACACTAAAATATAATACAGTTTTTCTACTAAAACGAATAATTGTTTGTGTACAATAAAATATCCCATCGCCGCGATTTAAAAAATCTAATATTTTAGTGTGCTTTTTTACACTTTATTCTACATTGTCCATGCACTTTATATATCATAATACAGTCTCAACGCCCTTCATCGACCTCTTGCATTGTTGGAACACTTTCATCGTTTTTGTATCCTATTCATTACATCACAGTGAGAAGATGTCCTAAATAGAACTGACTTCAATATTTGTCAATTTCAATGAAGACTGCTACAGGTTGTAGTCGGTGTTAACTGAAGCAATTTCTTTAGCACGGTTCCCTCAATCCCTTTCATTTACCAAAACATTTCAAAAACCACTCTAGAGAACCACGACCCGCTGTGTTACCTGAATTCGTGGAACTGATGCAAAAAGTCCTGCAAGTAGGATATCCTGTTTTCACAATACCCGATCTTTCGAGTTTCACGATAACAGAATTCTGTCGATCTGTAAGCGTGCGGATCGGGACCAGTGACTTTACTTCAATAAACAAAGTACACTATTCCTAGATATGATTGCATTTATTAAATGTTTGCCCTTAACCAGCTTTCAAAAAAATACGGAAATGGCACTGGGAGAGATGGCTCTGGGCATCAACTGATGTCACTGTTATTCCTCTGACCTGGAGGTCTTAGGTGCGAGTTCCGACGGCGGCAGGATTTTCGACACTGGCGTATCCGCTAGGGTGAGACCAGTCGCTGCCTGGAGAATTCTAGCGGCCGGCTGCTCTGATCGGTAGTTTTCCGAGTTTTCTACG